AAGACTCTGTTGTCCATTGTTGCTGATGCATACTTTGGCTTGCTTCAATTTACTTGGTATATTGAAAATATGTCTTAAAATTGGATATTCTATATATATGATTTCTTGTTCTGAGGTACCTGATAATGACATCTGTCATATTGGCTCCATGTTATTTCTAGTGCATATATATATATATATATATATAATTTTGGCATCTTAGTTATTTGCTTATTTTTGTTAATGATATCTAGGGTGAGTGGATCCCTGTGGTTGTTGATGATTGGATTCCTTGCGAGTTACCGGGTAAACCTGCATTTGCTACTAGTAAGAAGGCTTATGAACTTTGGGTGTCTATATTGGAGAAGGCATATGCTAAATTGCATGGCTCTTATGAAGCGCTAGAAGGTGGGCTTGTTCAGGATGCTCTGGTGGATCTTACAGGGGGTGCAGGGGAGGAAATTGACATGAGGAGTGGTGAAGCCCAGATTGACCTTGCAAGTGGTAGGTTGTGGTCTCAACTATTGCGCTTCAAGCAAGAAGGTTTTCTCCTAGGCACAGGGAGTCCTTCAGGTTCAGATGTGCACATATCTTCTAGTGGCATTGTGCAAGGACATGCATACTCAATACTGCAGGTAATGGGAGAGTGTTTTATATTTATTGATTATAGTATCATCTCACTGTTAGATGTATTACCAACCATTCATAAACCTTCACCTGATAACTTAATAAGCTTTAAGAGAGTTGATCCTTGACATGGAAAAAAGCCTTTTGTGATTGAGTCAGGAGTTTGATCCATGCTGCCCTTCTATTTTTTTTAAAGTGAATTTCAGCATGTGGTAGAGTGGAACTGTATTGTGTGAGGGAGTGATTTGATATGTAGTCATTCATGACTCAACCACCCAGCAATTCAAGCCTTACAGAGAGTTGGTCCTTGACAATCGTAATGATACTTAATTATCTCTGTTGTCATTCAATTTTAGGTAAGAGAGGTGGATGGTCATAAACTTGTTCAGATCCGAAATCCATGGGCCAATGAAGTTGAGTGGAATGGACCCTGGTCTGACTCATCACCTGAATGGACAGATAGGATAAAGCACAAGCTGAAGCATGTTCCGCAGGTAGTTGTCTATGTTTTCCTGTCGGGGATTAATCATACGCCTTGACTCCTTAGCGTCTCTTTATGAATGAGCAGACTATATGCTCTCACCAAATGTTATTAACATTTGCTGACATCAAGTAACCATTTAATTTTTATTTTCACTTTTTTGGACAGTCAAAAGATGGTATATTCTGGATGTCCTGGCAAGATTTTCAAATTCATTTTCGATCAATATATATTTGTCGTGTCTATCCATCAGAGATGCGCCATTCTGTCCATGGTCAATGGCGAGGTTACAGTGCCGGTGGGTGTCAGGATTATGATACATGGAATCAAAATCCGCAGTTTAGATTGACTGCAACTGGGCAAGATGCATCATTTCCAATTCATGTATTTATTACATTAACTCAGGTACTATTGATATTTGCATATTTAGTATTGCATTTATTAAAAGGAAATATCCCTTGAATTTCTTTATAACTTCATTTCATCATATTTATAGGGTGTGGGATTTTCAAGAACAACAGCTGGTTTTAGAAATTATCAATCGAGCCATGATTCACTGATGTTCTACATCGGTATGAGAATACTCAAAACTCGTGGCAGACGTGCTGCTTTCAATATATACCTGCACGAATCAGTTGGTGGGACAGACTATGTTAATTCTCGAGAAATATCATGTGAAATGGTTTTGGAACCTGAGCCAAAGGGATACACAATAGTCCCTACTACTATACACCCCGGCGAAGAAGCACCGTTTGTACTTTCTGTTTTCACCAAGGCATCTATAACTCTGGAAGCTTTGTAGTGCCTAGTCATATAGCTTACCTGTATCTTGTCCTGTTGATAAGTTTCTCTGCTTGGGTTCTCGGGGTATCATATACTTGAACTATTGGAGCCCTGCATACAAGAATTGGGGGTAATTCTCTTCCCCCTCTCCCAACAATTTTCTTTTCATATACACGTCATCTAACATTGATGGTTATGTTTTCACAGCCCGTGTTGATGTAACTATTTAAGGTTGGACAGCCTCAGCATTGGGACACTATTCCTTTTCGAAAGATGGATGAGGTATAGCTGCGCATGAACAATTGGTCTTTGAATCTGATGATTCATTATCTTGAACTCTGCTTCTGCCGGGATTGAAGAGGGCTCTCGGGGTGTTTATTGTGTACATAAAAAGTGCAATTATAGGAGTATACTTGTAACCATTTTAGCAAAGTTGGAAAAGAAATAGCTGAAAAATAAGTAGGAAATTACTAACACCTGGTTCAAATGAAGGTAAGGAGGGTGTGAGGAGGTATAGTAACAACCATTGAGTGACTGATTGTAAATTCAGCCGCCGTTTTGACAATTGCAAAAAATTGTACAAACATTAACGATTATCAATTCCTATCATTTATTGCCATTTGGGAAAATTTTGTATAAATGTTTTTCTAATCTAATTTTATTTCAGAAGATAAGGAGCATTCACGATTCATAGGTTTCTTTTTTCCTTTCTTGATTGGAGTTGCTGAAAATTCGATTGATTCAAAATAGATTTCTCTATATGGTTGAACACCAAATACTAATAATCAGGTTTCCTGTTGATTAGATAAAGGATATAAAATATTCCGATTCTTAATCTGAAAATGAGTAAGGACTTTAGAAAGCTTTATCCAAGTTTTGAAGGTAAGTTGCCTGAAAAATGCGCAGACAAAAAATGCTTTATCTTTCAATTTTTATTGACTAAAATTATGAATAGTTTACATATGAATTAGATCTTCAAAAAAAAAAATCAATAGCAGGCGGATTGTAGAGGTTGCTTAATGAAGTCTCGTGTAAAATGAGTGTGGAAGAATTATATAAACAGCGTTACCTTGACAGGTGACATAAATCACATAGTTAAGTTTACATCAGTCGAGTCGATTACTTTTTTGCGGATTAGGTTGAGACATCCAGTTAGGTTGGATCATTTATGTTACTCAATGCACATCAAGAGATTTAATACTTGATGAATCCTAATTAACGTGACTTATAATAAATTAATAGAATTATTAAACTAAATTAAAAATATTGCACACAATGCATAATACATTCATCAACATTTATGTAAGTTTACTTCTTTTTCACCAAATATTATAATAATAAGTTGATTGATTAAACTGAAAAAATATAGAATAAAAAAATAATTTAATTCTACTTATTATATAATTTAAATTTTATTATATTAGTCACGTAATATTTTTTTTTTGGAATATTTGTGGATTTTTATGTATAATTATTGTAATAATATTTATATTTTGAATCATATATTAAAATTAGATTAAATATTTTTTTTCTATTTTTTATTTGTTTTAAAATTTTAAATGTATTTATTTTTTATTTACTCAACTTGATTGTAGTCAAGTTGAATTGAATCATTAAAAAAAAACGCTTATAAATCTATATAAGCTAACCTAATTAAATTTAATTGAGTTCGATTTTAAAATACTTCAGATTCTACTCACTTGCTAATAACCCCAAGTCTGGAAGAAGCGAAACACATTTTTGTTTCTTTCAAAGTAAACAAATTGTGGCGTGCAACTGTCAAATTATCTTTTTTGCTCACATAATTATAAGAATTAATCAATTATATACGTGTAAAGTTTTTTTTACATTAGCAATCAATTAGATCTTTTAATTATGTCATGTCACTGTAAGTACATTTATTTTTAACGATGACATGACACAATTAAAAGATATAATTGGTTGCTAGTATAAAATTTTTTTACACTGACAGTGTATAAGTGATTAACTTTTATAATTATGTAATTACCTATACTCTTATAATTATGTGATTTACAGTGATATAGCATAATTAAAAGATATAATTAGTTGTCAGTGTAAAAAGTTTTTACACTGAAAGTGTATAAGTGATTAACTCTAATTATAATGTCAAATGTAAAATATTCTAAACTAACAATTTAGCGAGTGGAACATCTAGTATAATTATTTATTTTATATAATTAAAATTCATAATAAAGAAATATATTTGACATTATATATATATATATATAGTGTTGTAATTAAAATTAATTATAAATTAATAGTTTTAGAAAAATAAATTATATTTATAATAAATAATTTATATGATTATATAAGTTATTCTTAAGACAATATTTTTAAAAATTAAATAAATATAAAAAATATATATATTGAAAGAGATAAGAGGTTACAAAGTATTGAAATAAATATGAAAAATGGTATATACAAAGAGATAAAGAGATAATATTTAAATTTTTAAGATAAAAAATATATTTCTACTTAATATTCAGTTACTTACTGGATAATATATCATTCATTTAATACGAATAATACAAGGGAAATTATTAGATGCACATTAAAAGTATAAAGTTAATCTTCACATAAGAGAAGAATATTCGAATAACAATCATAGACCTATTTGTATGTTGTTAAATAGAAATGAAAAATGTTTATCATTAATAGTTTTGTCATCATGTAATTATTTTCAAATACAAACATTTGATAATGAAAAATAATACAGTAGGATAAAAGAAGATTCAAAGTGTTTCTTAATCTTATCCATAGTTGCATACCCCACTTAACTTAAGCATGTAACTTGTAAAAAAAAAAGTATCGAGGTGAAAGTGTAAATAAACAAGTCTCAGGTAATATTAAGTATACTTGTATTTGCATTTGTGTACGATGAAATCTAGTGTTTTGACAAAAGAATTCCGTCCCATCAAGTTTGGAATTGTTTTAGGTGTAAGATGAATGGTTGGTTGATGGTTGCATCAGCACGTGAGTTTCCTATTATAGTATAGATAAATATCCAACTATTTAGTGGCTACCATTAATTCTGTGATTAAAATTAACATTGGTCCCGCTAAAGCGAGAGGTAATATTAAGTCAAAACTCAAGCTCATAATACTCTTTACTTCTTAGTATGAATGTGTGGTGGTGTCTTATCCATTGAAAGAGGAAAAATAATAAAAATGTATTAGGATGTAAAGTAGTGGAGCTATTTATGATCATCACCTCCATCGCTAATTTTGTTGCGTAGCTTTTGTGAAGCTACAGAAATCAATCAGAGATGGAAGAGAGAGAGAGTGGATGTAGGCATGTGTTAATGATTCCATACCCAAGCCAGGGCCACATAAACCCAATGCTCCAATTCAGCAAGCGCTTGAGCAGCAAAGGAGTGAGAGTCACAATGGTCACAACCACTTTCATTTCCAAGTCCATGCATCTTCAATCTTCCTCCTTACTTGGCCCTGTTCAACTTGATTTCATATCAGATGGCTATGACCAAGGTGGCTTTGCTCAAGCTGATAGCATATCAACTTATTTGTCTCGCATGCAAGAAGTAGGCTCCAACAGCTTGAGGGAACTCATCCAAAAACACAATTCTTCTGATCACCCTATAGATTGTGTGGTTTATGACTCCTTTTTGGTATGGGTATTGGATGTTGCCAAAGAATTTGGGTTACTAGGAGCTTCTTTTTTCACTCAAATGTGTGCAGTCAATTACATATATTACTATGTCTACCATGGACTTTTGAAGGTTCCCATTTCATCACTACCTATCTCTATTCCAGGGCTTCCTTTGCTTGATCTAAATGACACACCAGCCTTTGTTTATGATCCTGGCTTCTATCCAGCTTACTTTCACTTGGTCATGAATCAATTTTCTAACATCCACAAAGCAGATATTGTTCTTGTCAATTCCTTCTACCACCTGGAGGATCAGGTATATTTCTTGCTAGTTAAACTATTCATTTGTTCTTGGTGTCCCAGGTCAACCTGGCTTCCAAGATCCATTTTGTCAATATTAAAATAATATTTAATTAGTAAAAATCAGATCTTCCAAATATAAATTAGTTTTTAATTGTGGATTTTGAAATAATGTGTATCATTTTCATATATAAAAAAATAACTATTCATTTGGTTCCTATAGTTTTTCTCATTTTTAAGTTTTAATCCTTATACGAAAAAATATAACTTTTAATCATTTGCTCAAAAAATTTTGTAAGAGTTTTACTTTCTTAGAAATTGTTTGTTGTCTTAGCAATAGAGACCAAAACTCAACTTTTACGCATTTTTAATAGAGGACAATTGTAGTGACCAAATGATTACTTTAACAATTCTTATCAAACTTGCATATTATTTAAACTCCTTTTCGAAGAATATGTTAAATGTAGCAATTTATGATTCATTTTATAAATAATTCTCATGACTAGGATTGTGTAGCGAAAAATGTCATAACATGATGTTTAAAAGGTATAATGAGCCATGTAAAAATATTGAAGGGCTGTAGAGTTGGTGAAAACCATAATTTCATCCGTATATACGAAGGGGCATGATATATATACAACAAATCTAGCAGCAATTTATACAACATTTTTTGTGTTTATCTATTTTCATTACATGATTTGTCACATTTCAAACTTCTCAATATCTCGTAGTTGTAAAATTTGTTGAACAAGTATCATTTCTGTTCACCAAAATGACTAAATTACTGGTAATATGCATGTTAATGCCGTTGACTAGTAAACATGAAGCACAAAGAAATGTGACTGTGTTTTGGTTGAACAAGCTATTATCTCATCATTTTCCATATTAATGATGTAATAGGTGGTGGATTCCATGTCGAAGGTATGTCCATTATTGACAATTGGGCCAACAGTTCCATCCTTCCACTTGGACAAGGCAGTCCCAAATGACACAGACAATGTTTTGAATCTTTTTCAATTAGACTCATCAGCCATTAGTTGGCTCCAAGAAAAGCCTGCAGGGTCAGTTATATACGTATCATTTGGCAGCATGGTGTGCTTAAGCTCACAGGAGATGGAGGAGATAGCATGGGGCCTAATGGGAACTGGTTTCAACTTCTTGTGGGTGATCCCTGATCTGCAGAAAAAGAATCTCCCAAAAGAGTTGGGGAAGGAAATTGATGCATGTGGAAGGGGTCTGATAGTTAATTGGATCACCCAATTGGAAGTGCTATCAAACAAGGGTGTTGGTTGCTTTTTCACACACTGTGGATGGAATTCAACAATTGAAGCATTGTGCTTGGGGGTGCCCATGGTTGCACTACCACAGTGGACTGATCAGCCCACAAATGCAAAATTTGTTGAGGATGTGTGGAAAGTGGGAATAAGAGTCAGGGTAAAGGAGAATGGGATTGTAACAAGAGAAGAGATTGAGAATTCCATCAGGGTAGTGATGGAAAAGGACCTTGGAAGAGAAATGAGGATTAATGCTAAGAAATGGAAGAAATTGGCAATAGAAGCAGTGAGTCAGGGTGGCACTACAGACAACAACATCAATGAATTTATAAATAATCTGAAAAGATCCTAAACAGTTGAGTCTTTGGAATTGACTTGTGTGATAATTTATTTTCCTCCTGTCTTTCTAGACGACATTATATATTTATATCATAGTGTGTGATATTATATATCTTCTCTTTCTATGCTCTGAATTTGAACTTGATGGAAACATGAGACTGAATTATACACAAGAAAAACCTAATAACACGTTCTTTTAACATTCTACTCAATACATTATTATTAAATGAAACTTACATGGTTATCGCTTGATAACAACATGTAGCTGTACTAGATTGCATTCCAGATTGAGTAATTAGTCTGTGTATTGTGAAGGAATTTAATTATACTCGCATCCAATAGCAAATTGTCATACCCTCCTACAGGGCTTCAGAACTATCTTCTTGCTGATACCCTAGGGGTTCGTTTCCCTCGTTGTACGTAATATCGCTTTATTTTTCTAATGCATCAAAATTAAAAATAGCAAATTGTCATGTATAGTTAATCCATTTTATAATGACTTCTAAAAATTATATCTAATATATTTTTTGTTTGTTGACTATAGTATGAGCGTTAGATCATTACATTTCAATTTATTCCTTCTAATTGTTAGTTGTATGTTTTCCCCTTTATTATGCCCAAATAACGGCTTGGGTTAAAAAAATACTAATACAGAAAAGACTTTTAAGAAAATATGTAACAAAATTTGATATAAACATATAAAGTGATATTAACTTTTAATCTAACAGTTAAATTTATAAAATTTACATTGAATATAAAATTATTGAACAATATAATATTTATTAAAAGTTACACCAATGTTATCATAACCCTCTTTATATATATATATATATATAT